AGTTATCACTTCATCAGCTATTGTACCTGCCAGGTACAGATCATCTGTAAGGATCTCCTTGTTTATTCTGTGCAGTGCCTTAATGAAAAATTAATAAAGGACCTCTAAGACTATGACAATGTATGAATATACTTAATACCCATTAAACTATATTTATCTCCATTTTCCATCCAATTGTCTCCCCCAAGTGCAGTGACTACACATACTACTTTATCTTTGGCATGAATGGAAAATGCAGAGAAGTGATTTTACAGTGTGTGATTAAGTCAAGAATTAGGCAAAGCATGTATGCTAGCTGTCTCTGTTTTAAGAAGGAGAGTTCCCTGTAGTTTTTTAGAGGAAAAAGCTGTTTCTACTCTTTCTGCCCAAAACTTCTAGTTCAACATATTTCAGTGCATTTGCTATGACCTAAAATACTGCTTCAGACATTTAGCAGGCACTAACGCATTATCTTCCTTTTCCTTAAAAATGATTGTTATGATGACTAGACAAGCATTACAGGTTTTAATGAATACTCACTTAAAAGTTATTCTAGTTTCATGATAAATAGATGTGTATAGTTGGGAAACTAGAAACTTCACATGTTACATGGAAGCTTTCCATTGGAATGTGTCTACCTTATGATCCCTGAAACCAGAGCAAATGGTCTGTACCAACAAATGACACAGCTGTACATCAGCAGCACCAAAACACGATAGCACTTTCCAAAACAGTTATTAGAAATCAGTGAGGTGGGGAGAAAACTTTTGTATTTATTTTTTCAGTGTTTTGAAAGGGTTTTGTCTAATAAAGAACAAAAAACAGCGTATTAATAGTAGTAAAACAAAATAATACCTTCTAGTTGTAGTCCTTCTGCCAAGTTTTTAAGAGGAATTTTATTTTTCAGTGTCTGCCATTACTTCAAACTACGTTCTGTGTTCTAACTATGGGATTCCATAGACATCAGGGACCTTGCGAGCATAGCTTGTTTTGTTTAGTAACCACCAGGAATCTGGGTTTTCAGTTTCCCATGGAAAAACATGGATTTTCCCTTTTGAAGCAGGTAACCGCAGGCTTCCCTTTTTGCAGGTAGCACTCTGTAGGCTGGCAGAGCTCCAGCCTGCAAGAGCTGCTTCCAAAAGGACAGGAAACCCTTAGCCCTATCTGGTGGGGGGAGCAGGGCCTGAGAATCTGAGTCAGCTAGAGCTGACTCAGATTCCCTGTTGCTTCTGTGGCCTTTGTGGTAAATATGGCCTTTGGGGCCTGGGGGGAAAGCAACTGGAGGCCCCCTCCAGCAGGGCTTGGGCTGGGGTGGGGCAAGGAGTTGCAGATCGAGAATGAAGGGCACTGGCAGGGTTTGGGGGGGCCCTGCTGGTTGGGTGAGGGTCACACTGCCTGTAATGGGGGGAGGGCGTGGCCTGGGGAGAGAGCAAGCAGAGCAAGGGGTTGTGGGTGACACTGCCAGGGCTGGCAGGAGAGCCAGCAGGACTGG